ATTTTATGGAACTCCCTTCCACCTATCCAAATTACATGAATTTTAAACTGATCTTAATTTAAGGTTGACTGGCCATGCCTTCACTCGTGAAGACCCTGTTTTGTCTTACCATGTGTAAAATTTCAATAGCATTTACATAGCCAAACAGTACGTCACATGGCAAAGCTCTTCTCTCCATGTAGCCCCAACCTCAGCAATGCCACATCCTCTAAGTGCCTAGCAGTGTCACAATGGAAAGACAGTGATCTATATATGAGGGTTGGAACTTTAATAGTGGCAACACTGCTGTAGAGACGCCGTGCAACGGAACCGAATAATGTCATCTATACTACACATTAGTTACATACCTACCTTCCCTCAAAGCAAATGGACTTTCCCTTCCCACATCACGCGCATGCGCAGTGACGAGAAGAACAGAGCCTTGTGTTAGCTGGTGGTCTAATGTAGTGTTGTCACGATGTTTTCGAAACAGGCACAATGGAGTTGGATAAAGACTGAATGTGCCAGAGGCCGTACAGCACGACAGTGTCATCAAGGTCTTCCAAGAGGCTTGCAGGGAATCTGCATTGCCTTACAGAACAGTGGCAAGTTGGATAAAAGCCTTTAACGAGGGACGCCAAAATGTGGCAGACATGCGTCGGCCAGGTCGTCCTAGTGTGAGTGAAGAAGTGTATGCTCTTTCCGCGTTACTGGAGAGTGATTGACGCTATACAATTCATGAGCTGGCCCGAGAGACAGGATTAGCGCATGCAACTGTGCTTCACATTCTGAAGGAACACCTGGCCATGAGAAAAACTGCATCACGATGGGTTCCGCATGATTTGATGGAAATGCAGAAATGGCTACAATACGACACTGCTTGTAACCACTTGGAGCGCTACGAGCATGAAGGAGAGGCTTGCTTACGCCATATCATTACGCTGGATGAGACATGGGCCAAATCATACGAGCGACAAATGAAACGCCAATCGAACAAATGGCGTCATGACGGGTCACCACGAAAATCAAAAGTTCGTCAGAACCCCAGTAATGTGAAAGTTATGGTAATTCTCGTGTACGACTGCGATGGTGTTATCTTAATGCATACCGTTACCCGACAGTGGACCGTCAATGCGCAGTATTACTGTTCATTTTTGGAACACAACCTGCGGCCAGCTTTGAGAAAGAAGCGGTGACACTTTCTGCAGAACCCACCCATCATTTTGCAGGACAATGCTCGGCCGCATGCAGCACAAACTGTAGCTGATTTGTTCAATCGTTGGGGCTAGGAAGTGCTGTACCATCCATCATACTCCCCATACTTAAGCCCTTGTGACTTCAACTTGATTCCTAAGAAGACGGAACCACTTCATGGCATTCGCTTCAGAACTGTTCCAGAGATTCTTCAGGCAGCAGACCGCTCTATTCGAACTATCAACACAACAGGCGCTGCTAAAGGTATCCTACGACTTCCACATCGCTGGCAACAGGTTGTACACAATGCTGGTGACTACACTGAAGGACAGTAAAACTTTGAAACATGCATCTATTTTGTATCAGCTGTAA